TTGTGGCATAGTGATAGCCTAATAATATAATTAATAATAATTATCTAATATCCTAATAATTATTAATTTATAGTTGTTATCCTAATAATAATTAATTTATAGGTGATATTGATATCCTAATAATAATGTATTGTTATATACTAATGATTTATATTAATATTATGAGGATATTGTTTTGCCACTGACTCACCATTGGGTGTGAGTGTTTTTAGCAACCAAGAAAACAAGCGACATTGAGTCTCTCTGTTTTGTTTAGAAAAACGAACCTGCCTCATGCAGACTTCTAACACATTATTTACGTTAAGTGCAGTTCACACAACTGCAGTCAGTATCAGCATTTTATAGGAATTGAAAGTTCATCAAATTTTCAATTTTGGGGGGAGGGAGGGAAAGGAACAATATTTTAATTTTGTGTGTGCGTACGCGAGGGTGGATGGATTGGGGGGGCAGTGGGGGGGATTGTAGGTCGGGGGGATTGGGGGGTGCAGGAGGAATGGCAAAGTGAAATGTGAAATTAGTTGAGTCAGCTCTCTGTGCTGGTTTTGTTAGTCTGGGTTCCTGAGCCAAGCGTGTGCTCAGTATTGCAAAGCCCAGTTATACAACAATAATAATAATAATTCTTGCATTTGATATAGCGCTTTTCATGTGTTCGAGACATCTCAAAGCGCTTCACAGAATAGACTGCAAAGTGAATTTACTGTATATTTATGGGAGAAACGCGGCAGCCAATTGCGCACAGTAGTGTCCCATAAACAGTCGTGGACTGAGTGACCAAATTATAATTTTTTTTAAGGATTATTATCCCCAGAAAAGCGATCCGCCAATCGACTAACAAGCGCATTCCTACTTACTGCTAGGTAAACAGAGGAGTGTGGAGTAAGGAAATTTGGCCAACATTTCACCCTGCCGGGAATAGAACCCAGGTCTCTCGCTTGCGAGGCGAGTGCTGTAACCACTGAGCTACAGGACTAAATATCTGGTATGTTAACAATATCAGGTCTTTCAGTTGGATAAGAGAGGTATGGAGGCACTCACTTTTGATTTTAATGCTTTGTACCGTGACAGGTCCATATAATGAAGGATAATTGGTGTTAAATAATCTCTGAAAGTGTGCCACATCACTTTTGTTTTCAAACCCACTGGAATTCTGGTGAATCAGATTTCTGCATTGTGCATAGCGAAGATAAACAGTCAAACCTTTAAATCCCCCTATTCAATTTCCTCCATGTTTTTCTGCGGTACTGTCCATATAATCTATAATTTACAATTTAAAATACTATTTTTTCCAAAGCCCAGCTCTATTGAACTCTATATACATACACACAGTCACACACACAGACTTGATTTTGTGCCTTTGGGAGCCTTGTCTCTCCTAGTTTCTGAACAGTCCAGCTCCCTTCAGGGTATTTGGTGCTGGTTCTGGTTGCGGAGTTCAAGATTCATGAGTGACAGCTAGATTTGGAAGCTTTGGTAAGTTCTTGCGCAAACTCAGAATAAGTAGTGGTAACTGTCAGTTGATGACAGACCGGTCAGTCTGGCTTGTCAACTGCATGTGGAAGGACAGGTCAGTCACTGGGGGGGAGGGATTCTTCCCACCCGCCTGCCATCAACCATGCAAGCCAAAGTCCAGATGGATAGGATGGTCCTAGCTGGACAAGCAGTGGGAAAACTTGCCAGGCAGTGCTCTCAGTGGCAAGCTGTGCTTTTTTTATGCCGATGGGATCCTTAACATCCACCCCAATGGGAGCTTGGTTTAACGACTCATTCAAAGGACATCATCTCAACGCAATCCCCCTGCATTGACATGTCAGCCTAGACTTGAACTCAAAGTCACCCGGCATGGGGCTTGATCCCACAGACTTCTGTCTCGGGAGCCGAGAATGCTCTCATCCGAGCCTGGCCTAACATTAACACACAACAAATTACATTTGTATAGCATCTTTCACATCGGGAGGACGTCCCAAGGCGCTGGACAGTCAGGTATTTGGACTCGAGCTGGAGGTTGAGATTAGGAGGAGTGGAGGGTGGGAAGGGTAGAGGTAGGAGTGTGACCGAAGGAATGGTTAAGAGGAAGGTCTTGAGATGGGCCTTGAAGGAGGCAAGGGAGGGAGTGAGGCAAAGGGACTGTGAGATCAAGTTCCAAAGGGTGGGGGTGCAGAAAGACTGAAGGCCTGACTACTGATGGTGGGGCTGGTAGGGCGTGGAGCAGGCCAGTGTCCGCTGAGCGGAGAGTGGACAAGTCAGTTTGGGAGGAGGATAAAACACCAGTTTCCTTCTCCTCCCAAAACCCGACTGTATTTTCTGTTTTCTCTAAACAGCATTTGTGCTGAGAAAAGCATTGTTGCTTTTTTTTAAAAAAAGCTCCTTGTGACTCCTTGTGGGAGTTGTACTGTATTGTACAGCACTGGGTTGAGGCAGCCATACACATCGACCGTGAGAGGAGGTGTTGCAAAGCCAGATTCTGCATTGTCATTAAAAAAAAGCCTTTATTTATTTCCTTGCAACTGAACATTGAAGAGCAACGCTTATTGCGTGGCAGTTACAGAAGCCTTTTTTAATATATATATATATATAGCAAGGATTAAGATGGATATTTCATGTATTTCTCTTCCCCCGCCTCTCTCACCCTCCCTTTCTCAGTCCCCCTTTCTCACCCTCCCTCTCCCTTCCCTCACTCCCTCTCTTCCCTCACCCCCCTCCCTCTCTCCCCACCCCCACCCTCCCCTTATTTTATTTCTAATAACGATAGAGAGCCACCATTGCAATGCTAGATACAAAAGCGTTATTTTAATACATAGATATATTTGCCAGGATTAAGCCAGATATTAAAGGCAATTGTGTGTGTGTGTGTGTGTGTGTGTGGGGGGGGGGGGGGGGGGGGGGAGAGGAGAAATAGCGATCGTATCCCAGGTCAACTCAGGAAGTGGGGATGGAAATGTTTGCACCATATGGACAGGCACAGAGAGGGCTGTTCAGGGCTCCATCTCTCGCTCTCTCTTTCCCCACTCTTCCTCTGCTGTCCTCCCCCTCTCTCTCTCACCTTCCCCCCCTCTCTCTCTCTCCTTTCCTCCTCTCTCTCCTCTCTTTTCCTCCTCCCTCCTTCCTTTCCTTCTCCCTCTCTCCTCCTTCCAATCCCCCTTTAGATGACACGCTCTGTCCCTCAAAACCCAAGACTTCGTTCACTTCCTGAAACTTTAGACAGACACTATGTGGCTCTCACTTGGTTGGATGGACAGAGGGCGGATGTTTTTGCTCGGTTTTTAGTTTTGCAATTCCTGCTCTTTCAACTTCATAGTTTCGGGGGTTGCAAGAGAGAGAGAGAGAGAGGAGGAAGGGGGGAGAGAGAGAGAGGAGGAGAGAGAGAGAGAGAGGAGGAAGGGGAGAGAGAGAGAGAGAGAGGAGGAAGGGGAGAGAGAGAGAGGGGAGGAAGGGGAGAGAGAGGGAGAGCAGGAAGGGGAGAGAGGGGGAGAGCAGGAAGGGGAGAGAGAGAGAGAGAGGAGGAAGGGGAGAGAGAGAGGGGGAGAGGAGGAAGGGGAAAAGAGAGAGGGGGAGAGGGGGAAGGGGGGGAGAGAGAGGTGAGAGCAGGAAGGGGGGGAGAGAGAGAGGGGGAGAGGAGGAAGGGGAGAGAGAGGGGGAGAGGAGGAAGGGGAGAGAGGGGGAGAGGAGGAAGGAGAGAGAGAGGGGGAGAGGAGGAAGGGGAGCGAGAGAGAGAGAGAAGGGTAGAGAGAGAGGAGAAGGGGGGGAGAGAGAGAGAGGAGGAAGGGGGAGAGGAGGAAGGGGGGGAGAGAGAGAGTGGGAGAGGAGGAAGGGGGGGGGAGAGAGGGGGAGAGGAGGAAAGGGGGGAAGGGGGGGAGAGAGAGGGGAGAGCAGGAAGGGTGGGAGAGAGAGAGGGGGAGAGGAGGAAGGGGAGAGAGAGAAGGGGAGAGAGAGAGAGAGGAGGAAGGGGAGAGAGAGAGAGAAGGAAGGGGAGAGAGAGAGAGAGAGAGAGAGAGAGGAGGAAGGAGAGAGAGAGAGAGAGGAGGAAAGGGGGAAAGAGAGAGGGAGAGCAGGAAGGGGGGGAGAGAGAGAGAGGGGGAGAGGAGGAAGGGTAGAAAGAGGGGGAGAGGAGGAAGGGTGGGGAGAGAGAGTGGGAGAGGAGGAAGGGGGGAGAGAGAGAGGGGGAGAGGAGGAAGGGGGGAGAGAGAGGGGAGAGCAGGAAGGGTGGGAGAGAGAGAAGGGGAGAGGAGGAAGGGGAGAGAGAGGGGGAGAGGAGGAAGGGGAGAGAGAGAGAGAGAGGAGAAGGGGGGGAGAGAGAAGGGAGAGAAGGAAGGGGAGAGAGAGAGAGGGGGGGAGAGAAGGAAGGGGAGAGAGAGAGAGAGGAGGAAGGGGAAAGAGAGAGAGAGGAGGAAGGGGGAGAGAGAAGGAGAGTGAGGAGGAAGGGGAGAGGGAGGGAGGAATGAAATAAATGAGAGGAATCAGTATGTGTGTGTGTGTGTGAGAGAAGCAGATCCGAGTCTTGGAACAGTTTTTGATGTATAACTGCCCTCATCCTTCAGCCCTCAACCCCAACAACAACATGGACTACTGTAACTGTGTGTGGGGGGAGTGGCCGCGGAGCTGGTGCTCAGGGCTGAGCCAACAGTGCACAGTCTGAAGGACTGAGAAACATATATATATAGAGAGAGAGAGAGAGAGAGAGAGAGCACTGAACCCTCTGACCCCCCCCCCCCCCTTTATAACGAGGAGGAGGAGAGAGAGAGAGAGTGAGTGTGGGAGGGAGGGGGGAGGGAGGGGGGAGGGAGGTGTGGCGATGATTTGGGATGTTGTTTTCATCAGAAAGTGATTGACTGACCACAAGATTTCAGTGAGAAACGAGCGAGAGACAGAGCAAAGCCACGCAGCGAGAGAGAGAGAGAGAGAGGGGGGGGAGGTCGCCTGTCCATTACAGAGGCGCGGGTCTGTCTGTCTGTGTGTCTGTCTGTCTGTCTGTCTGTATCTGTCTGTCTGTGTGTCTCTCTGTCTGTCTGTCTGTGTGTCTGTGGGGGTGGGGGAGACAGAGAGAAAACAATTCTTGTTCTCAATAACCTTACCTGACGATCAACTTCAAAGGTCTCTGACGGGGTTGGGTTGGGGGGAGAGAGAGGGAGAAGCAGGAACACCCCCACTGCCCCCACTCACCCTTTTTGGGGGACTTGTATTTGTGTGGATTCGCATTGGCACCGATGGGCAGCACCACCGTGGATTGCGCTAAAAAGAAAGCAGGAATGAAGAGGAGCAAAAGACACGTCCTGCACCTCAATATCCCGGTAAGGGGACCCGGGCATGTTCTGGGAGGGGGGGAGAGGGGGGGAGAGGGGGGATGTATTTGGGGGATGCGGGAGAGGGGGAGTTGTGGGGGCGCGGGGGAGGGTGTGTGTGGGGAGACGGGTGTGTGTGGGGGAGGGAGGGGTGGGGGGGAGAGGGTGTGTGTGTGGGGGGAGGGGTGTGGGGGGGGAGAGGGTGTGGGGGGGGAGAGGGGTGGGTGGGAAAGGGGTGTATGTGTGTGTGGGGTGGGGAGGGGTGGGAGAGGGGGGGGGGGAGAAGGGTGTGTGGGGGGGGGGGGGGGGGGGAGGAGGTGTGTGTGGGGTGGGAGGGGGGGGGGAGGAGGTGTGTGTGGGGTGGGGAGGGGTGGGGGGAGGAGGTGTGTGTGGGGTGGGGAGGGGTGGGGGGGGGGTGTGTGGGGGGGGGGGGGGGGGAGAAGGTGTGTGTGGGGTGGGGAGGGGTGGGGGGGGGGGAGAAGGTGTGTGTGGGGGGGTGGGGAGGGGTGGGGGGGAGGAGGTGTGTGTGGGGTGGGGAGGGGTGGGGGAGGAGGTGTGTGTGGGGTGGGGAGGGGTGGGGGGGAGGAGGTGTGTGTGGGGTGGGGAGGGGTGGGGGGAGGAGGTGTGTGTGGGGTGGGGAGGGGTGGGGGGGAGAGGTGTGTGTGGGGTGGGGAGGGGTGGGGGGGAGGAGGTGTGTGGGGGGGGGGGGTGGGGGGGAGGAGGTGTGTGTGGGGTGGGGAGGGGTGGGGGGAGGAGGTGTGTGTGGGGTGGGGAGGGGTGGGGGGGAGGAGGTGTGTGTGGGGTGGGGAGGGGTGGGGGGGAGGAGGTGTGTGTGGGGTGGGGAGGGGTGGGGGGAGGAGGTGTGTGTGGGGTGGGGAGGGGTGGGGGGGAGGAGGTGTGTGTGGGTGGGAGGGGTGGGGGGAGGAGGTGTGTGTGGGGTGGGAGGGGTGGGGGGAGGAGGTGTGTGTGGGTGGGGAGGGTGGGGGGGAGGAGGTGTGTGTGGGGTGGGGAGGGGTGGGGGGAGGAGGTGTGGGTGGGGTGGGGAGGGTGGGGGGAGGAGGTGTGTGTGGGTGGGGAGGGGTGGGGGGAGGAGGTGTGGGTGGGGAGGGGTGGGGGGGAGGAGGTGTGTGTGGGGTGGGGAGGGGTGGGGGGGAGGAGGTGTGTGTGGGGTGGGGAGGGGGGTGTGAGGATTTTATTTGTTTTGCAGTGGGGGGTGTTGCGGATTGCTGTGGTTTGGATTTGGATGTGTGTGTGCTGGGGTGGGTACAGGTATATGGGAGGGGGTGTTGGGTTGGGGGTACAGTTCCAGATTGCTGCTCGTGTAGCTTTCCTTTGCTTGTAAACAAGTTACCCCCACACACGCACATGCACATGCAATGTGGAGAGAGAGAGAGAGCTGTCATGCTGAGGCAGTACCTCTTATAACAAGCAATAATCTTTGCAATTGATCTCTGCAAGCTTTGAAAATCCCTGTGTAGTTGGGATACATGGGAATCTCAGCTTGGTTTGGATACTCTTAAGCATGGTGATAGGTTTTCACACGTGTCAGACACTCGCTGACGCCCAGAATATATTTGCAAATAATATTCCTCACTTTTTCATGTCAGGAGGTCTTCATGTCAAAGCTCTTCACAGGATTTTATAGTAAATTGCAGTGTGTATTTTGTGGACAAATGCAGCAACCAGTTTGTGCACAGTAACGTACCCGCAAACAATGATGTTTGAAGTACTTGAGTTTTTCGGGGTGGGTGGATTCTCGGCCAGGACAGTGGGAGAAATCACCTCGACTTTTCTGGTAACACCATGGGATCTTTAATGTCCACCTGAACAGGCGAAGGCTGGCACCTCTGACAGTGCAACACTCCTCCCACCAGCACTGCATTAGAGTGTTTGTACTATGTATGCTGGTTTAAATATTAATAATGATAATCATGGCATTTGATTTGGCACCTTATCATGCATTAAAACATCTTAAAGTCCCTCACAGTATTTCTAGTGCAGTGTAGTGACTGTGTATTTGCTCAAGAACGACTTGAGCGAGTATCTCAGGGTGGGAAATCGCCCAAAAAAATGTACTGTAAATGTAGCCAGGCTAGAGCTAAATGCAATTTCAAGGCTTTTGATTGTGAGAAAGGAATTGGTTATTCTAACACTGTGTGTCATCACCGAGCCAGAAGGTTGTGGGTTCAAACCCCTCGTCTTGGAACTCATATAGTCTAAGAAGCTGACACTCCAATGCAGTGTCGAAGATGCCTCCCTTCACATGACTTGTTAAACCAATGTGCCAGTTCAGGGGGAAGTAAAGGATCCCACGGCTCTAATTGAAAAAAAAAGGGTAGTTTTTCCTGTTGTTCTGACCAACAATCCCGCAGGTTTAAAAAAACATGTTCAGTCACTACTTGTCCATTTGTGGGACATTATTATATCCAAATTGTCACTTTTGCCCACGAAACAGTCACTTTGCAGTATATCCTGTGAAGTACTTTGGGATGTCCTCCTGATGTGAAAGACTCAATACTAAATGTAAGGAATATTATTATTGTGCGTCATGGTCATATTTTGGACTGCTGTGTGTGGATTTCATCACTGTATCTCCCAAACATGTAGCTATAACAGAGAACTAGAATCATAGAATTATACAGCACAGAAGGAGACCATTCGGCCCATCGTGTCTGTGCCAGTTCTTTGAAAAGAGCTACCCAAATCAATCCCACTCCCCCGCTCTCTCCCCATAGCCCTACAAACTTGTCCTCCCCAAATAATTATCTTATGCACAGTAGATGGTCATTCAATCCACTGCATTCCTGTAGTGTTTGCACCTCCAATGAAGCCATAAAAACAATAATAGCCGTTGCATTTGATATAGCGCCTTTCATGTCAAGAGCGCCTGACAGGATTTATTGCAGTATTGTGACTGTGAGTTTTGTAGGTGAACACGGCAGCCAATTTTGCGCACAGCAATGTCCTGGAAACAGCCGTGAAGTGAATGACTGATTTTATCTGGGCTTTTTGTTAGTTGTCTGTTTATCCCATTTTCTCATTCTTATGACATCTAAAACCGCTCCTCACAGGGTTTTTACCCATTCTCCGCACCCTATATACCTTTCCTCTACATGCAATTCCCATTTAAATGCCACCCTCCCACACCAAAGACTAATCCCACAGCAGGGTCATTTCATAATATGGAAAATTATCCCTTAATCTGACAAACCACTGGAAGAATTTTTATCTCCCAACTTCCCCATTATGGAGTCCTGTAGTATAGTGGTTAGCGCATTCGTCTGGCAAGCAAGAGGACCCTAGTTCAATTCCTGGGCAGGGCGAGACCTTAGGCAAGTTTCCTTGCTCCATATGCCCCTGTTTATCTTGCAGTAAATAGGAACCCGGTTATTAGTCAATTGGTGGATCAGATATACTGGGGGTAATAATCCCTCAAAAAAATTTTTGTCACTCAATCAACGACTGTTTGTGGGACATTGGCTGTCATGTTTCACCCACAAAATACACAGTCAAACCTCTTCACAATATATTCTGTGAAGCGTTTTGAGACATCTCAACAACCTGATATGCTGCTATATCAAATGCAAGTATTATTATTATTGATCTTTTGCTCCGAGTTATGATCCGAAATTCAGAGAGTTCAGCATCCAAACTCATTTGGGATAATAGGTCAGAAGAGAAGGTGACGACAGTGATTTGCTATTTATTTTTCGGTCTCCTCTCCCCTAGACAGTGACTTATTCTTGTAGTGAGAAGCAGCTCTCTGGCACCTCATCCAAGTCGCCCTTCATCCTGTGTGATCGAGTTTCAATAGGCTGCTTGACCATTGGATGGCATCATACCCAAGTTCTCCTCTGCTCTCCCAATGAACCACATCCAATTTCTGACAGGGGTCACTGAGTAGCACTATGATAATATGCATCCAAACTCACCACACTTTATATCAAAAACCTTGCAAAGCAAAACAATAACATCAACAACAAATAACATGTGTATAGCGCCTTTCACATCGGGCGGCGTCCCAAGGGTTGGACAGTCAGGACGCGAGCTAGGGCTTGAGATTGGCAAGGTGGCTGAATGTACGGTCGAAGAGGAGAGTCTTGAGGCCGGCCTTCAAGGAGGCAAGGGAGGGGGCGAAGCGAAGGGACTATCAGACACCCCCTCCCACCCCCCCACCACTGGTTTTGAAAGGTGCTACATCAAATGCAAGGATGATTATTTTCCTCGTCATTTGAAATGTCTCAAAGCGCTTCATAGAAATTGTACTTTAAAGTGTGATGGCTCTATCCCGCAGTCTCTCCGCCTCACCCCCTCCCTTGGCTCCTTCAAGATCCATCTCAAGACCTTCATCTTCGACCGTGCTTTCGATCTCCCTGCTTTTGGGGATCAGGAATATCCTACAAACAGCCACAAAGCGAATGACAAATTTTATTTGGAGGATTGTTGGCCAGGACACCGAGAAAAACTCCCTTGTATTTTTGAATAGCACCAAAGGATCTTTGTGTTGGACTGTCAGCCTTTTGATACAGATCCTCTTCACATCGTCAGAACGTCCCAAAGAGCTTCACAGAAAGAGAAACAATAATAATCCTTGATATAGCCCCTTATCATGTCTTCGAGACATCTCAAAGCGCTTCACAGAATACACTATAAAGTGTATTGACTGTGTATTTTGAGTGAAACGTCGTGACTGTATTTGTAGGCAAACTCGAGGGACCAGAGAAGTTGCACAATGGAAAGCAGTGCCTATTGTGTTGGAGTGTTTCTCATGTTTTAGTAAGGAATTTTTTTTAACAAAAACGACTGCTTGAATCTTTAAATTTCTTTTTCATTTTGTGAATCTTTAGTAATGAGATGATTCATCACTGAAGGATGAACCAGGTTGTCAGCCTGGCTTAGTTGGTAGCATTCTCGCCTCTGAATCAGAAGGTTGTGGGTTCAAGCCCAATTTCGGGAGATTTGAACTCATATCATGTAAGCTGACACTCCATTGCAGTGGCTGTTGCATT